AAGAAGTAATTAGGTGCTTTTTCTATTTTGTTTCGTGGTGCAGTTTTTGTTAGTTTTGCTTTGTCGGTTTTTTGGTTTGGTTTTGTTTGTTTTGTTTTGGTTTGTTTTTTTTTTAAGGTTAGAGTTTTTTAAGGTTAGAGAGTACCATTTACTTCTTACTTTCAAATGTGGAGTCCTCAGAAGCTGACATTTTGGAGTGTTACACTTCAGGATTGCCAAGAGTATTTGCACTAACTGCCCAGATGTCTCTAAAATAAGTGTAATGAGCACACACACACATTTGTCTTGAAGACGTGGAGAAAGCAAGGTGCGCGTAAGATGCAGAAGGATGCCCTAGTTGTGTGGAATTATGAATGGCATGACTGCTGGCATGCTTCCAAATCCAAAGTGGAATATTTCTTACCTACAGGGCAGTCCATATTATTTTTGGGTGCCCTCATGTTGAACTCAGTGTGGTTGTTGGTGAGATCCCAATAAGGAATGATGTCCACAGACGTGCACAGACACCACAGTCATCAGTTCACCACCGGCTCACAGCACTGGGAATAGAACTTCAGACCTTCGCCTCCGCAAACACAGCTGCTCATCTGGCCTGGGCTTTTTAGCCAGCAGAGGGAACTGATAAACACTCTCACAGGGCTGCTTTATGTGTTTTTTATAACCAAGAGAGGCCACTGATTCTCACCCCCTCTGAAAAGAGTCCATGTAATGTCACCCCTCAACAGTTTCATCTGCCATTCGTAAGCGACAAACTTATATTTATCTCGCTTTTGCTATGAAATATGGACTTGCATGAAGTTTTAATCACCTAAAGGTGTCCCAAGACTTCATAGTGGTATTAACTCCCTGCAGTGCAATTATGAGACATTAAATTCATTACATATCAAGACAGTTACAGAAACACATCTAACATTTCAGGAGTGCAGGGAGAGCAAGCATAATTGTTTTCTGGTGACTACAGGGAATAGGAATAGTTATTTCTCCAGACCCACAAAAAGGCTTCAGAACCAGGAGTCATCATTATCTTTTTGAACATATATATAGATCCACAACTTTTTCTGGGATTTCTGTTTGCAGAGGTAAACCTACAAAACAGGCAACAACACTTGCACCAAAATCTACAAAGAGTAAGTGGCAAAAATAAAGAACTTTGTACAGTTAAGTACACCTGTTTGCTGTTTGTTAACAGGCAGAACACACCACCTCTAATGTTTTTAGAGGTATTGTATTGTCTTGTTCCTCACTACCTCCACTGAACCATTGCTCTTTCAGGAATATGACATTAGTGTAAATTAAAAATTATCTCCCTGTAGAAGGAAAGAACCCACAGCCTACAATAACTGGAAGGCAAAAGAAGTAAGGGAATGTACAGGAATATATATAAGCTTAAGAAATAAAACTTAATCTTACCTCCCCTGAGATACATAGCAAGACACAGAATAAGGGGGCAGAAAATTCTGCCATGCAGATATGCTCACAGATATATAAAAATTGTCTTCTGTGGCAGATGGTGAGGTGACCATTAATGGCTCCTTTCCTACTCCTCCCGTTACCTGTCACATGTTCACTACTTTCTCTATAAACAACGCATGTTTAGCAATACTTTTTAAGTTAAAAGAGTAAGAGACAAGGCCTCTATTGCTAGGGTAATAACTCTGGAAATTGAGCACTGGAATTTGTTGGGTGAGGTGCATTTTTGTTTATTTAGTTTCGGTTTTGTTTTGTTGGCTTTGAGGTCTTTTTTGAAATTCAGTATTTGCAAGGCTATAGGAGCAATTATGAATCTGTACCCTCATAAATTAACTTAAGGGCTAAAAATTAGAGGGATAGGACAAAGCTGGTGGTTGGGGCTTTGGTTTTTGTTTGTTTGCTTGCTTGTTTTAATGTGCATGAAATTATATCCTGTATGTTTACAGAAGGGAAAAAGAAAGGAAGATTAATATTTATGTCTCCTAAAAGATCCTTTCAATAATTTTGCTTAAGCCCTATGAGCTTCTCTTTGAGCTCTTTACTGCTGCTGAGTTACCAAGGCTGAGTTCTACAGTCAGATGTTGTCCATAATTTCTGGTCCATGGCAGTGGATCTCTGCTTCCTCAGCCTGCCAAGGGTCTGGGCTGGTCTCCTTTAACCACAGAGTGTAAGAAAGAGATGAGCATTTGCTTATTTGTTTAATTGTTTATTTACACCCTCCCAGAACGATTTATTTGTAAATCCTCTAAAGGGGTTTGCAAAGGGTTTCACAGGAATTTTGAAAGTGTTAGGAGTAAATTACTTCTCTCAAGATTTTTCACTGGAATTCTCCCTGATGTTCAGCCCTAAAGAGTCATGCAAAGACAAAGAAGCTACACAGGGGTGGACTTGATCAGGCTGAATACAAAATGAAGTGTGGGATTAGTGCTGGCCTGGAAACCAGAGGAGCTAAGTCTGACATTCTTACATGAATTTTCAGTATGACCTTGAGTAAAGTAATTTATATATTTAGTGACAGCAGGGCCAGAGGAAAACATAATGTCTCCCTAAAGAGAGGTGTGAAAATAAATTCCTGAAGAATTTCTCCCAAGCAGTGGCAGAACTATGCATAGATAAGCAGAGTGATATGTTTATCCTCTGTTTCTATGTATCTAGTCTAGCACTTTAGACAGCACTGGGAGTTACACTAGTGGATTAAGTAGATATTACTGCCCTAAATAAACACCTACAAACCTAAGAAAACTGCCAGGAGAAGTGACTTAGCATCCCTGCTTAACACTTAACTGGTCTTTGGCCAAAAAAATTAATATAGTCTCTTTACCTTTATTATTTTTAAATGTTATGATCATTACTCAAAAAATCAGAATTCCTTACTCTCCCAATGATTCCTTTTTTTTTTTTTTTTCTCCTTAATTCAGGTTGTACCATTATTTTAAACAGTATTTTTGTTTTAATATCAGTGTGCTTTGATCTTGTAAAAAGGAGTTTTAGATGAACACAGAGGTCAACAAATGCTTTCCTAGACATCTGAGCTCCCTTGGAGACCTGCTGGGTGAAGTTTCTCTTCATCCCCTGCTGCAAAGTGATGCTAAGTTGAATTATCTACTCAGCCTGAGAGAAACTACTCAGAAGAGATTCTGATCTAAATTAGATTAATTCCTTTTAATAAAGTTTTCTTAATATGTCCTGCCATCCATTTTTCAAATGCCAAAACACTATATTTCACAGCAGGCTTTAATAAAAGGTATTTTGCTACATACACATTTCCTGTATGTATTTCCTGTGGCAAATGCATTTTTTTTTCCATGAAATGTGATGTATTAAAATTTTTGATTTATCTGATGGAGTAAAATTCTGTGTGAAAAAATGAGGTTTCACTGCCACAATCTAGACCTAAATTCTGTATGCACTGAACTTAAAATCACATATCAGTGTCTTACAACAGGGATGTTTTTGGAAAGGGGAGGTTTGCTGTAAAAACCGCATGTTAACTCAGAAATAAAATTTTGTAGCTTGGAGTTAATGCCAGTTATGAGGAAAACCATTGGGCTCTCTTCCTGCCTTCTATGGGCAACTTACATTAATTACCTGGATGCAAAAGTAGTTTTACTCTAAGTTTGCTGTAGAAAACACTGTGCTTTGATTTTTGAATAGTTCAATTTATTTGGGGTTTGGATTTTTGTTGTTTGGGGTTTTTTTAAAGATACTTATGTAAGCTTGCTAGACAAATAGCTGAAGGCAGTGTTTTTCTTTCCACACTAGTTAGAATAGATAACATATAAAATCAGAAAAAACTCTTAGATACAGTATGCAGAAAAGAGTACTTGGAGCAGAGTTCTGCTGTTATAGCTTAAAATATTGCAGCTAATGTGAATGCAGTTATATATGGACATAATTCTTTTCTAGAGAAGACTTTCTATTTGTGAAAGACCAAAAAGGACTCAGTTTAGAAAGAGAATTAGACATTAAGAAGAAAATACCACTATTTAACTGTAGACTATATTTTGTATTTACAGACAGCATTAACTGCGGCTTCTGGCAGCTCATGTTTTCCCTCCTCTCTGAGCACTGGAGAGAGGCACTGTAGGATTAGGATTTCTGTGATGGAATTTCTTTAAACAGGTGACTGTGTGTGCTAGAAGTGCACTGACTCACACAATGTGAATAACTGCTACTAGTCGCTAATAGATTAAGCTCTGTGAGGATGGACAGATGCGTGGATGGGAATGCAAATATGGTTTTGAAACCACTTTTAAATGTTTTAACTGTTCAGTAGCTGTCTCTGAGGCACTATTCCTTCCTCTAATGCTAGAAATGCCTGTGTAGGAAAACCACAGAAAAATACAAAGTTGATCTAAAAGTTTCATAGAGACACAAGGTCTGTTGTTCCAAGAAGGAGGACTCTGCTTGTAAAAAATATCTACTTTAAGTATATTTGGTACACTATAATGAATTCCATCAGTCTTATTACTGTGTTTCCGTAAGGGCTTAAGTTCCATCACACCTTTTTTAAAGGCAATGAAACCTGTGAAGATGCACTTCAGTCCCAAGACTGTCTCAATCTGGCTAGTCAATGACATTAGCAATAAAACCCAGTTCCTTCCTTAAATTAACACTAAGCACTTTTTTTTCCTCAAACAGAATTTAAGGAAGCTTTACAGTGTTTTTTTTTTTGGTTTTTTTTTTTTTTTTCCATAACTTGACTGGACTGAAAAGGAGACTATTAAGAGGGATGATACATTGCTATAATTGGTCTGGGCATACTAATCTCTTCAAAATCCATCAGAAAGGGAGAGACGACCTTTTCCCAGCCACAGTGTTTCCCAGCAAGATCTGTTTTTATTTCTCTGCTAAAACAACAGACTGTTACTAACTTAAATATCAGATGACACTACATCTGAAAAAAAAAAAAAAGCGGGGCGGGGGGGAGGGGGAGCCAGCACCACCCAGCAAGGCAGTGCTCAAGTTCACATTAAGGCTTCCTCACATTAGCTGGTTAAAACAGAAACCTGAAGTAGCAGTAATCTTACCTTGAGTACACAAGATCCAAGGAGAGAAGATCACTGGCTCAAAACAGTGGAGGACTGAGAAACTGCTCTGATCTGCTGCTGGTAGCATGCACTTGGCTTTTATGTGCAGGTGGGAGGAGCTGCTCCCTACGGTAGGTGGGCAGTGAAGATAGCGGGCAGACAGCCTTCAGAAGGCATTGAACAGTAGGTTTTTGCTCTTTGGGGACACAGAGGGGGAGGAAAAGCAAGCTGGATGGCTTATACATGAAAAATAGTGTTGGATTTATTTGCTGGATTTTTTGTTTTGTTTTGTTTTTTGTTTTTGTTTGTTTTTCTGTAAATCTGTAGTTAATTAAAGACTTTCTACTGTATTTATTTTTCTAAATCCAAATCTCTGAATTATTCCAGTTGCAGTTACAATACTACTAGGTCTCACTTCATCTGTTGGAAGGATTTTTGTGGCAGTGAGATATTAATGCAAAGTCTTTATCAGAAAGGTCAGTGTTTCCCTTTCTGAAAAGGGATAGATAGCTATGAAGAATCAGCCCCTTGGTCTTTGAAATTGTCTGTTTTCTCAAGGATTGAACCTCCTGTATATTCCAAACGTCTGCTAGATCTCAGCTCAGGAACCCTCCTACGTTTCTGTTTTGCTGAGCTGAACAGCTTTTTCTTGAGGCAGCTGTAACATGTTCCATCTACACACTGACTTTCTAGCAGTTTAGTTTAGAGCAGTTTTATTGTTCACTGTGTCTGAGTTCTAAACAATTTTCCCAACTGGTATTCTCAAAAGGCAAATGTAGCCAAAAAGACAAACCAGTAGGAATATGCATTCCTGGTGGTTTCTGTGTAAAATCATTCATTGTTCATTTTAACTCCTTCATTGCTTTCCACTCAGAAGAGCGGATGGCACAGATTGCAGACACTGGCTCCTGCAGGTGAAACAGTTGTACCCATCTCAAATACACTAATTCTCTATTTATGTATCTTCCTGCATGAGGCGTCTGGGCCTGTGTTATTTTCCATAATACACAAGTAAAACCTGTGTCATATTGGAACATATAATAGGTGCAGAAAGCTGGAAAGATAGAACAGCAAGGGGAGAACAGTAGTGTGCAATTAAGGGAAAGTCTAGAGGTCCATCCTGACTTAAAATCTGGGAAGGAGCAGGTAGAAAAATTAATATCTTAGTTATAGAGTTAAGTTTGTAGCAGAGCTTGTGGAGATGAGGTATGATTTTTACTACTTCTTTTGCAAAAGGGCCAAACTGATCACTGGTTAAGGAGTTATAAGATTTTTTTTTTTTTTTTTTAAAAAAAAAGCAGTACTGAGTGAATTGATCAGAACATAGTGAGTTGCATACAATTTTATTTAGGCTTGTCTTTTTACAAAAAGGCTTAAAAATCAAGCACACATCAACTTGGATGACAGTGTTATGTGGCAAAAGAAGTTGCATAACCCTGGTGATGTAGCCTCTGAGATTTGGAATTGTCAAACCAAAAAGGACTGGTTTAATTGCTAATATTTCTCACAGGTATTGATTTGCTGTTGGCTAGGGCATTTTCTACATTATTGCAACTAATTGGGAAAAGAATTCATGTTATTTTGTTTTTTCTGCAGCCCTTGAAGTATTTTTACAGTTCTCATTAAGAAATTAGTTTCTGCTGTGAGGAGATTACAGCGTGCTTTTAGGAAGGCTACACAAACTAATTATAACATGGGAATAGGGAAAGAAAGGGTACAACTTAGTGCAATAAGTTTATGTAGTTAGTTCAGTTATGGCACCTGGTAGTGGTTCAAATGACTAAGTGATATGCATAAAGTAGAACTCTACTCAGCTAGCATCTAAATAATCAGATGATTTTGTATTTATACAAATCTAGGCTGAGATTATCGGAAGTTAGAGAGTAAAACAGGTACCCCCATCCTTGTTTGATGATTAAACTGCTCTGCTCTCTCAAATTTGCTGAGCTTTCTGTAGGTCCCTTCTAAAATCAGTGGATACAAACTCAATACCTTCAAGAGGTGAAGTTCTGTTTTTTTATTATCTTGGGAACAAAAGTTTGAATGTAAAGGACTAGTTGTATGTTGGTATATTTTTTGTTTGTTTTTTTAACTCCTGACCATAAGCTTCAGGTGCTAAGCACCACTTCAGTTCTCAGAACTGAGTCAGTATTCTTTCCTGCTCGGTGGGTTGCATGCACTGATCACGTCCTACTGTACTGCAGACTCAAGGATAGCTTTACCTTTTTATACTTCTAGAAGAGAATAATTAAAGTTTTTCTTTAGTTCCTTCCTTCAGGGAATCTTAAAGCACTTTACAAGTGTTAAATACCAACATATAACATGGATAAAAAGTATTAGACCTATATTAATGATTATTAAAGCACCATCATGATGAAATTATATGGAAGATTATCTGATGATGTTACAACATTATACAGAGACTTCATAGAATTATTCATTCCCTGAATTGGAAGGGACTCACAAGGATCATCAAAGCCCAAGTCCTATCTCTGCATAGGGCACTATGAGAATCACACCCTGTGCCCGAGAGCATTGTCCAACACTTTCTGAACTCTGTCAGAAAGATGCTGGTGCTGTGATCGCTTCTCTAGGGAGCCTGTTCCAGTGCCCAGCCCTCCTCTGGGTGAAGAACCTGTTCCTAATATCCAACCTAAACCTCCCCTGACACAACTTCAGGCCATTCCCTTGAGTCCTGTCACTGGTCACCACAGAGAAGAGACCAGTTCCTTCCCCTGCACATACACTGTGGGAAAATTCCCCTCAGTCTTCTCCAGGCTGAACAGACCAAGTGACCTCAGCCACTCCTCAAATGCCTTCCCCTCAAGGCCCTTCCCCATCTTCATTACCCTCCCCTGGAAGCTCTCTCACAGGTTTATATCCTTCTTACATTGTGGCACCCAGAACTGCCCCCAGCACTGGAGGCAAGGCCGCCCCAGCTCAGAGCAGAGCGGGACAGTCCCCTCCCCTGCCCGGCTGTGATGCTGGGCCTGGTGCCCCCAGGACAGGGTTGTCTCTCTTGGCTGCCAGGGCACTGCTGACTCAGATTTCAACTTTCCACCAACCAGGACCCCCAGGTCCCTTTCCACAGGACTGCTTTCCAGCCTCTTGTTCTCCAATCTGTAAACACACCCATGGTTACCCTGTCCCAGGACCCGTGGGTTTCTGGTCACTGCAACACTTATCTTCCCTGAAGAGACTTTTAGTAGATGAAACTTTACCAAAATATCCATGGGAAACTTGAATTAGGTCATCATATAATCAGCTGGATTTCAGGGCACACTGCCAGGCTGGACAGTAAATTCCATGTGGACACATGGGAGGAAAGGTTGTCATGTTCCTATGACTAGGAGTGATGTCCAAACTTTCAGTTTCCATCTGCCTTTTAAAAATAAAGCTACTTTTTCAATAAAACCCTCCAGTGCTCTAGCCCTCTTACTCCATTCTTGCCTCAAAATATCTAGATTGGTTTGCTATGAGCTTGTTTGTTTGAGGCAACCTGTCCTTTCCAAAATCTGTATCAGGTACTTGCTTTACTTGAGGGTAGGGCTATACACATAGTGCAAAACAGAACTGCTAGTAACAATCGATTCAATGAAGTACTCAAACTTGGATAGGTGGTTCATCACACTTTTGAGAACATGCACATTTTCTTTTCAATGAGTCTTCTGTCAATTTGTTTAGTAGTAGAGTCTCCTATTAAATTAAATTAGTTCTGGCATACAAAGTGTATGGCAAAGAGCGATTATTAACAGAGGTGGCATCATCCTTAAGAGCCAGGTTAAAACTAAAACTATAGCTGTACAATTGACATGCATTTCACTTTGGTCTTTTAAAAGGAGATAAACAAAAATCCCTACATTTGTTCCATAAAGGAATTGATTACCCCCAGTTTGCCCTGAATGTGACAGAGCTAAAATAATGTGACCTAATGTGTTAGGAGTGGAAAGAATAACCATGGATAGATTGGGAGGTTGAACCTCTGGAGATAAATTACTGTTTATGTAGCATCACAGCAGCAGCTTGGGTAGGTGGCTACTTGCTGTTTGGCAATATTATCAAAGGAGGAGAGTTCCCACACAGCTGGGTAGCATAGTGATGGCAGAAGATTAGCTATCAAGGTAAAGGTGTCAATGTTGTTTTTAAACACAACCCAAAAAGTGTTAGAAGGAGTGCTCCTAATGTAAAGTGGGATAACACAGGCAGTAGCAGCCTTGTGAGGTATAAGTTAACACTTCCAAATTTCAGCTATAAATGTAAAAAAATTCATGATTCAGGAAAGAGGAAAACATTTCAGGGTTTTGTTTTGGTGGTTGTTAATATAAAAATATTCTGAACAGCCTACAGATAAATTTCTGTTACCATATGCAACCCTCATGTAAATCTATTCTTCTTTTCATCTTGTTTGACAGTAGGACTGTAAGACCACAGACACCAACAATGTCTCCATTTCACCAGTGGTATATTTTATTAACCTGTGGTTTCAGGCAACATTCTGCCTTCTGTCATGCTTCCCATTACTGTAAGTTTTACTCAAAGTCTTTCCAGCAAGTCTGCCTTTTAAAGAATTAAATGTGTGACAGTATTGCAGTTTTTATAGAGTATTGTTGGCTGGTGTTTTTTTTTTTTTTTTTTAATAGTAGATTCATAAACTTAGAGGGGAGAGTAATGGGAGAGAGTGAACAGTTCTCAAAGTTTTCTCTGCATGATACTGAGAATCTGTCTGATATTGCCTTTCACATTTGTATCTGTAGATTAGTGCCAGTGGGATGGTCTGGCTACAAAACCACTGTATCCTACACCATCCAGTGTAGGATACAAAATCAGCACACATTTTGAAAATGCAGATCTTGAATTGTAGATGAGCTTACACCCAGGGCCTTACTGTGTGTGAAGGAAGCACATGTCTACCTCAAACAATGTTTACTACAGTATTACAAGGTTGATTCTTTAGCACATCACCTGATAGAGGCAGAATTGAAAAAAGAAAGAGAAAAGAATTGATACAGACTGTACTGTAGCTGTAACTAATGCCATTTTGTATGTCTTGACTGTGCTGATTCTGTTACACCCACCAGTGAAAAGGGA